ATAATTAACATCTACAATTATGATCAAATCATGATCCCTACACTTGTACTAGTATTTTGCCTCTATTAAATACTTTATCATGTTACATTCAATATCTCAAGACCCAAAATACATCTCAAACTCATTAATCAACACTACAGTGCAAGTATAAACAAATTACATCCTAATTAGCAATATATTATCTATTACAAAAAATAAATCTAAGTAAGAGGCTTTACAGTACGAATCGTGGATTTCTTGTACCACACCAAATTTTTTTTTAAATAATTTAACTCAACCATAGTTGGGTTATAGCCACCCAACACATTTTTATATCAATAATTTTAATATAAAATACTTTATAATTGGCTTCAACTCACACACTATAACATTTCAGATAAATTTTTACCTCCCACATGCCATTAGGCTAAATCACATTTGTCCATCCTTATACTCCCAACAAGTAAACTAAATCACATTTGTCCATCCTTATACTCCCAAAAAGTAAAATAAGCAATTTAGTTAATTTTCAACACAAGCCAGTTATTTGACCTTATAATCATGCCATTTTAATCAATTCAAAGTAAACCTAATATTAAAATTACAGTCATTCAAATTGTACCAAAAATAGAAATAGTTTGAAAGGCATGATTACATTTATATATTCATATAATTGATAATAAACAAAAAGCCCTAATATTGGTAATATAACACATTATAAATCATAAATTAAATACTCAAAAGAGACAGTGGATCTATACCACTAAGCCTCTGGGACTCCTCCACGTGTCACTCGTGGCTCTTCTCCTGAAAATTGTTAATCACATAATGAGACTCAAAAGTCTCAGTAACCAAAGCCAATTTATGATAGTGTATACAAACAGTTAAGTGTGTGCTTACTAAGTGAGAATTAAAAATAATATAATTTCAACAAATATAAGAAATATTACAATATACACAAACAACCATCCTTATATCCCTCCATTAACCTCGAGCTGTAGCCCTCACTCGGTGCTAAATTACCCGGCCAAAGGTAGATTAGCCTGAGCCCTTACAAGCCACCTATTGAGCTCCAATAAGGGCGTACCACGTGGCACATAAATACAACAATAATAGCAAGTCTCCCAACACCTCCCACAATAATTAAACAAATTCATAATAATATTGCACAATTATACAATATTACAAAATTCATAATTTTCTCAATAATCACCCAATTAACAAGAAGTAACACTAATCACAAATTAAAAGCATGGTTACCTTGTGGCTTTTTCAATAAATTATTCCTTAAAATTTCTCTCTCACCACAATCTTCACCAGTAATACAATCTACAAATAACATATTATTTATAAATATTAGTTTCAATTTTTGAAACTAATAAAATAATTCTAATAATAGAATTAAAAATATAACATAATTCCTAATCTCAATCTTAATACAAATCTATAGTTAATACTATTAAGTAAAATTTTTAACTCCTCTTTTAATTATCAATAAACATTAATAATCTAAAAATCAACTTCTAAACTAATTTCTATTATCAAAATTTTCTTTTTATTTCATAAATTCGTACCTAAAATACCCAAAAATTAAAAATTGAGTCTCTAGCTTAGAATCATAATCCTATAACCATAATAATTCATTTCTCGTCCCAAATAATCATCTAAACCTCAATAAATCAACATATATTTTCAGATCTAGTTTAGAATTTGATCTATAAGCCACAGATTCAAAGATCATCAATAAATTTATACTCTAGAACATTTATTATACTACTGACAACCTCAAAAATCATATTTATTCAACATAAATTCATCCCTCTTCCAGATCTTAAATTTTTTACCACTACAAACTCAGAAACTAAAGAAGAAGGATGACTAAGAAAAAATTTTAAAACACTTACTTAATCTTGAAAAGCTTAAAATCACATCCTAAATATCCTATTAAAAACTCTTACCTTAAAAATTTAGATATTTTGCACCGGCGACTCGCTTCTCTCCGCCTCAGCTCGTGCGCAGGAAAAGAATTGAAGAAATGAAAGGAAACGGGTGAGTTTTATAAAAATTCAGTGGGTCCCACATCTTTTTTTTATTATTTCTTCTCTCCTCTCTCCCTTTTTTTTTATTATAATATATATATATATAATGATGGCACGCGGAAACGCCGAAAGTCATTTGTTCTTCTTCTTCTTCCTCCTTTTTTTTAATACGTTTTCCCCTTTTTTTATTATAATAATAATTTAGTAATATTTTTTTATTTTTTTAATTTTTTTTAAATTTTTTTTAGAATTATATCCTAAGTTAGATTTAATAATCATCTCTTACTAATTTTCTTACCTCTAAATATTATTTTTTTTAAATTTCTATTAACCCAAATTAACTATTAAAATTTAAATTGGGATGTTATATTTCTAAACCTTTAAAGCTTTTTCCCTTCCCTCATTGGAGCTAGAGCGTGTAAAATATTGAAAGAGAATGGTGAGTCTAGCCACTTAATAACTAAGGTACACTTATTATATTCAGTTGTATATCAATTGATTTAAACACATAAAAAGAGTATTGATCACTCAAAATAGGAGATCATGTGCAATACACTTGTAATTTCACAATGACCTCAATTTTCATGTTTTTCATTTCAAAACACATAGTAAATTGCTACAATGCACTCAAACATGTGACAATGACTCAAATACAATCAATTCATTGTATATTGCCGCAATATAATCATCCATGTAATAGTGACGCATTCACTATCACAACTTGTCACAAACTTAACAACTATGCGACACGTCAAATATACACAAATGCACAATTAATTTCACCTTATATTCTCCTTATATCTTCTGACTAAAACCATAGATTGTAATATCAAACAGGGCTTTGATATATGGCTAGATTATCCAAGCTCACAAATTATGAGATGTGACCCAATCAAAGATCCTAGAACTCACTATCCAATTATGGTTTTCCTTACTCTTGACTCTTTAGGGTGTCATATACCATAAACTAATCTCCTCAATAAATAGGTGGAGTTAGCTAGGTTTTAGTTTCTCGACAAACTATAGGATAGTCCGTTCATAAATAGTAGGATAAGGCTATGCCTTCGTGCACTGGAAGGCAGTCATAAGTACCATATGGATTTTATCTATTCTCTTTAAACTAACTCTTGCCAAATGATCATGCAATGTATGATACTCACACATTTTGCCACTTGATTTATTCAATATTAACACATTAGGCTTACAATAATATGCTATTCAAGTAAGCATCAATGTCATATTCACAAACATTCTCCTTTTCAAATTCTAAGTTCCATAACACATTTCAAATTTTCATTTAGCCACGCATGCAATACTCACATGTTAAGCTAAGCACAATAGCATCGCATCACTTATCATAAACTTCTCATTTCAATACATCCTCATAGTTTGGAAACTCATTTCACATTCAACTTCACATTTATGTAAGATTAATATTCTAACATATGGTTTATAACATGCTTTCATATTTACAAGCTAAATCATACATTTTACATTAAAACTCAATTAACAAATATCTACCCAAGATAGGTTCCCCTAGTTACCTTAAACTTTTAAGTGATCAAAGGTTTGCCCTGCAATATCTTGCTTCCAAACTTGCTTTTCAAACCCAAAATGGTGCTTGGATGATTAATCTATAATTAATCAAGTCTAACTCAATTAACATTATTGAAAACACATTTTCAATTATCACATTTTCATTTTTAAAATTTCTAATGCCATTATTTCTCATATTTAAGCTTACCCATTGAGTGTATTAATTCTCTTTAGATTTATATAGCTCATTAAGCTCTCACATTATCATTAATAGCTTCCAACAACCTCAAAGACCCACATTAATGGCTCATTTTTAGACATTAATGGTCACCTACTACTATTAATGCATAAAACCCCTCATTAATGATTTCAACCACTAAAATAACTTTCATCAACCTATTTAGGTCAATAGATTCGAATTTCATAACTTATATGAATCGAAAATGATCTCCCACTATCAAATCATAATAATTTTTTTTTTAAGAAAATAGGTTGGGAAGGGAGAAGAAGAGGTTAAAAAACTTACTCTTGAGGCTTGATAACTTCAAAACACCTCCAATCCTCTTAAGAATAAAGCCCTAGCAGAGCTCTCTTTGTTGTCTTTGTTTCTTTGTTAATCCCTCTTCTCTTTCTTCTGTTTTTTGCATCAAATTCGCATCTAAATTCTATAGAAAGTGTACTATGCACTGCAGCGTGTCATACAAGGAATGTTGTCTCATGTCTCCTGGCCCCTGTGTTGCGAAGCACCATGCATGCTGCGGCATATGGCACATAAAGTTTTCTACTTGTTTTTCTTTACTTTTTAATGTCCAAGTGATTCAATTTCAATTCGGATCCAAATTTATACATAAAATTTCAACTAAAAACACTCAATTAATCTCATCTAACCACACGTCACTGGAATCCCATTTAATTATCCTTAATTAAATTGATTATTGGGGGTAACTTTTCAAGTTGTTATAAGAAGTGAGCCCTCAAAACCTAAGTAGTCATTTCCTTTAAGAACCATAACTATTATGTGAGCATAAAAAGTAGGAAGCCCATGACTCCTTGTAACGATTACATCTTTATCATTCACGTTATATTTTTTTATAAAGTACGTAATAAATAAGTAAAAGGTATGCATATACTCCTAATAAGACACCTCTGCTTACTTTAATAGAAGTAAGGACAGATAGTTGATTTATTAACTTTATATTAAAATATAATAAACTTTTAATTTTATTCATATTTAAATATTTTTAACATTTATATTACATATTCTTTTATGATTAATAAATTTAAATAAAAATAATATTAAAAAATGTAATTAATATTTCATTAAATATTTTATATTTGAAATATCAAAAATTATTAGTACTTTGATTAAATTGGAAACCAACCCCTTGATAAAAAAAACATAGAAGGGTAGCTAGTTAGTTACCCTAATCGCAAATGAATTCATAACGCGTCTTCTGGACTTCTTCACGGCTTCACCGCTGTGGCGCTTCACTTCGTAGCTTCCCGTTCTCGTCGCCGACACTGAGTTCGCGTAGCTGTTCCTCTTTCACTGCTGCTGTTCGTGTCTGCTTCTTTAGAATTGTTTACTCTTCCTTACGCTTCTGCAGTCGGTGTCTGCTTCTTTAGAATTGTTTGCTCTTCCTTACACTTCTGCTGTTTGTGTTGGCGTTTGCTGTTTGATTTTTGTTCTGAGATCTGAAAATGACTGAATCCAGTGTTGTGAATGCTTTCTGCTTGAATTGTAGCGCTGAATCCAGTGTTGTGAATGCCTTCTCCTTGTTCTGATTTTTTTATTTTTTATTTTAAATGTAGGCTTTGTTACTTTGAGCCATTGAGGCCTAAATTCGGAAGCCTCAAATACCTAAATATGAAGTAGGCCCTTTTGGTTTCACATTCATCCATCGTCGCTTCTTTTTATGTTTAGTTCTTTGTTCACTGTGATTCGATGCATTTTGCATACTAAGTGTTTGTTTTTATTATTCAAACGAACTTACTAGGTGCTTTAGAGAAGCAATGCCTTGTTTTTCCTGCTCTCACCTTTTCTTTCTATTTTTGTTTTTTTTAATTTCTTCTAAAACCCCATTAAAATCTCAATTTTCTCGTGTTCATACCTTCTTGTTGTCCCAGGATTTCCTAGTGGTGGACCGAACTTATGGGGAAGGCAAAGGGTAAGCATCGTTTGGATAAGTACTACCACTTAGCCAAAGAACATGGCTACAGATCCAGGGCTTCGTGGAAGCTTGTTCAGCTCAATTCTAAGTTCCGCTTTCTCGAATCTGCCCAAGCCGTTCTGGACCTCTGTGCGGCGCCAGGTGGCTGGATGCAGGTTGCTGTCCAACGCGTTCCTGTTGATCATCTCGTTGTCGGTATCGACTTGGCTCCGATTGCACCCATTCGAGGTGCAGTTGCTATTCAGGAGGACATAACGAAACCTGAGTGCAAGGCAAGGATTAAGAAGTTGATGAATGAACGTGGCTGCCCGGCGTTTGATGTAATTTTGCATGATGGATCGCCCAATATTGGTGGAGCATGGGCTCAGGAGGCCATGAGTCAAAACGCTTTGGTAATTGACGCAGTCAAGTTGGCCACTCAGTTTTTGGCACCCAAGGGTACGTTTGTCACTAAGGTATGTTACCGTGGTTATTTCACTAAATGACATTATTGGAGAACATGAAGTTCTATGATGAGGAATTCATGTAGCCAGTTTAAGAGAAAAGATTTTGAATATGAACATTTTGGAATTTGGTAGTCTGCGCAATATGAACTTGCCAAGGGTTTCCATTCATTCTGTTGCATTTCTGCTTCAGCTTGTTGCATTTTGGTTATACTTGCAGTTCAAGACTGCATTTATATTAGCTGCATATATAACTATATATCTTTTCTCTTCTCCCTTCTCTTCCTTTACTGCATTATGCCTCACAGATTGTCATATAATAGGGGTAAAATTCTTATATAGAAAACTGCATTTCAAAAGGCCATTTTTTGTTTTATTATTTTTCAGTTGTTAATTCAAATTCAGAATCTAATTCTGACGATGTTCAACAGCAGAAAAATCTAATGCCAGCTGTTAGATTAGTGAAGTGCTTTATTCCCCATCCTAACTCAATAAGGATTTCTTGACGAGTAGAATTTAGGTTATGCAGACATCCTGTTTTTGGTTTTTAAACATTGTGTCTAATTGCGATTTTTCCCCACCATAGATTTTCAGGTCACAAGATTACAGTTCCATCCTGTATTGCTTGAAGCAGGTGATGGTTAATTTATGTTTTATATGCTTCTGTCATATATTGTTTACATGACTTGCACAAAGATGTCTGATGCTGGTGGTTTTTTGCATTTTAGTTATTTGAAAAGGTTGAGGTGGATAAACCAGCGGCTAGTCGTTCTGAATCTGCAGAAATATATGTTCTTGGCCTTAAGTATAGGGCCCCTGCGAAGATTGACCCACGTCTTCTTGATGTGAAGTATTTGTTTCAGGGTTCTGTGGAGCCTCAGACAAAGGTAATTTGTTTGTTTCAGAGATGTTGGAAATGCTGCCTAATCTCTCCCTCCCTTACCTAATATTAGCAATAGATAAGGCAATGCACACTTATTCAGAATTGTTTTTTTGCGTCTGAAAAATGTCTCTTTCTCTTTTGCCGTCAATAATTATGAGGGGCATTGAACAATGCATTAAATGTTCATAGAAGGGTGTGATATTGCTTATATTAAGTAACAATAGTATTGTTACCCCATTTTGTTGCTTATATTAGCTAATGGAGGAGGTAGTAATTACATATACTATTTTTTACCACCTGTTTATTTCTCATTTTATTTTATTGATGATCAATGTAGGTGGTGGATGTTCTTAGAACAACAAAGCAAAAGAGACATCGTGGCGGGTAATTCCCATATCTCATAAGCAGACCTTTAAATGTTTAGTCCTAGAAAATTGGTATTCAGTCGCTAACTTCATCAAGATTGACCTTGCATGAAACTAACTTTGGAAATTATTATGGTATTCTGAGAAATATAGCATTTTTTGACTTATGACTAGGAAATAGTTATTTCTATTAATTTATTTTAGATACTTAATCTATTCTTGTACATGGATTAGGTTTTGATTGTTATCCTTTGTTTACAGCTATGAAGATGGAGACACAACTTTAAGGAAGGTTTCTTCAGCTGCAAAGTTTATTTGGTCTGATTCTCCTTTGGAGATCCTTGGCACAGTCACTTCCATAACCTTCAATGATCCAGCTGATTTAATAATAAAGGATCATGACTTAACAACAGAGGAGGTATTTTTTGTGGTCAAGCATTCTATAACAATTTGAAAACCCATCAAGAAATGTTTTTATCAAATGAATTGAATGGATTTGTGTGGCAGGTAAAAGCTCTCTGTGATGATTTACGGGTTTTAGGGAAGCAAGACTTCAAGCATCTGCTAAAGTAATTTCTTATATCTTTTTATGTGTTTTTAGCTTGTATTTGAGAAAAACTTAATACTCATTATGGTCAAATTTTTTTGGTTGTGTTGTGTATCATGTGTAGGTGGCGGATTCATTTAAGAAAGGCTTTGTCACGCACTGAAAAGAGTGACACTCTTACAAGCTCAGAAGTAGAAGATGGGAATAAAGAGAATGATGGTAATAAGGAGAATGAAGATGATAAAATACTCAATGAAATGGAGGAATTAACTTATGCAATGGACCGCAAGAGTAAACATGAAAAGAAGCGTCTTGCAAAAAGAAAAGCAAAGGTTTCTAGCCTGATGATGCTTAATGCTATATAAATGGGTTCCTTTTATTGCATATTCATGAAATCATGGTTATTAATCTGCTTTTGCTATCTATAACGTGATTTTAAAACATATGCATAATGTCTGGTCTAACAATTATTTGGAGGTTTGCCTGGTAACAAAGTTATTCTGCAATTTCAATGTAAAGTTATTTCAGGTTCTTTTTAAGTTAACCTCAAGTTCTGCTTTTGACCTAATCCTGTGGGGAGTCTTCATGTGGACATGCTTTATTAATCTGTCTAGAGAGAGGAGTTTGTTCTTTTCTCTTTTTCTTTTTCTTTCCCCTTTTTCAAGTATCACATTTTTTAAGTGTCCTTAAGATTAAAATATATTCCTTCTTGCTCAGTTGTATTTTTCTCTACACCCTTGGTTTTGATGAGTGGACTGTGTTGAGCTAATTTGTTGATCTAACTTCTTGCCTCCTTTAGGAGAAGGCACGCCAAGCGACTGGGATGCATATTGATGCTTTAGAAGATGGTTATATTGATCATGAGCTGTTTTCTCTTTCATCTATCAAGGTATGCTTTCACTACCCGAGCTTTTTGGTTTACAAAATAATATTAGATGTATTGACACATATCAATTAAACTTTCATTCTAAACTATCAGTTTTTCCTCTTTAGGGCTGCAGGAACCTCATGTTGTGGGTTTACATAAATATTGGCCAATAATTGACTTTTGCAATGGGGAGAGTTTGATCATAGTGTAACACAACTTACATGAAAGCTCTCCCAGTCAACCACTATCTTATTGACTATTAATGCAAGTTTCATTCTACCTATGAATCATGGACGCATTATTAGTTCAACTATAAATTAATTAAACAGAAAATCTAAAATCCTGGTTGTGTTAATATACAACATTTGATGTAGAAACTACATTATAATCTAAAATTACATTTGGTCCCTTTAGGGGGTTTTATATTCTTACCCATCGTATTGTTGTAGGCTAGCAATATCATGTCAGATATGCCACATCCAAATGGCCTCCAATCAATGTCTTATGTGTGCCATGCCTTGTTCTTCTCATTCCAAGCCTAAAACATTTTCTTTTTCCGGCAGTCTGGCTCACATGTCATGTTCCTATCATCAAAATCTCATGACATTATCTGTGCTCTACATGTTAATATACCTTAAGTTAGGCATGTCTGTACTTCATTGGATTTTGTCCATTTTTCCTTTTTTTTTTTTTTAAGTATGCCTACTGGCCTAGTACTTTTTACTTTGGCACACAATCTCCTAGGTCCTTACCCATTCCCTTGATGAAAAATGAGAAATAGATTATTGTTTACCTTATGGGTTGGGTCATTTTTTCTGTTCATTCAGCTGGTGGTGTTTGTGAGTTTTATAATGTTGGCTTTATGAGCTTCCCTTGAATATTGGATTATTTTATTGGATGCAAGAAACTTTCCACGGTTGGGCATTAAAATATTTTCTTGGCTGTTATGATTGCACTCCAGGGGAAGAAGGATCTAGTAGCATTATCTACTACGGAATATGACGGTGAAGATGAATTAAAGGATAGTGATAATGAAGAAACAAATGATGGTCAAGAGAATTCATCTAGTGACATAGAGGATTCTGATGAAGAACATAAAAGGTGATTGATAAGTTCCTCTAGTGTTGCTGATATTCTTTCATGTAATCACTTACCATTCTTGCATTACTTGTATTGTAACTAATATATCTGGATGGCAGATATGACGAAAAAATGGAGGAGTTATTTGATCAAGCCTATGAGCGTATTATGGCTAAAAAGGAAGGTCCTGCAAAGCAGCGGAAGCGCTTGAAGAAATCCTATGAAGTGGGGAATCAACTGTTGGAGGTATGCAATTTCTTTCTGTGATTATGGTTGATCTTGTAATTTGACTTCTCTGTGACTTAATTCTTTCTGCATGAAATTTTAGGTATATACTTAGACTAGATATGGTTGTTCCAACTCCGTGTGGTCTTTGCTTAATATTTATTTTGCTCTCCTAGCATGTCATATGTCATGTCTTTGTTATGAAATTAGTTTCTTTTTTCTGACATGATAAGTAATCATTCAGGACCAGTTTGTTTAAAAAATAAAGGAAAAGTTGATTTTAGTTAAGTTTTTTCATCATAACTAATGACATGACATTGGTGAAAATGTTGTCCAATCACCAATTATCTAAAATGGGGAAAAAGTGCATAGACAATGTCAGTGAATAAACGAAATTGTTTAATATGATATCCAATCATTTCATACATGATATGATCTGAATATCACCGATAATTCGGAACAATAGTGTGCAAGAATCTGCTTTCAAGATCTGCATGGCCCAGCTGGATAGTCCTGGAAAAGTTACACCGCTGAGAAATGATTTTTGAGCCTCAATAGCTTTTGTGGAACATGTGTTCATGTTGATGGGATGAAAAATTATCAATTCGTGTAAACTAATGTTTAAGACTTTTTGGCTGTGTAGGATGGTGAGGCTGATAATATTGTCCAGTCCAAGTATGATTCTGATGAAGAGCAAGGAGATGAAGCAAATCCTCTGGTGGTTCCTCTTGATGAAGGTTTAGAGCTCACCCAGGAGGAGATAATGGAGAAATGGTTTAGTCAGGATGTCTTTGCTGAGGCTGTAGAGGAAGGAGACCTTGGGAACGACGAAAGTGAAGTTGACATGGATATAGATGAGCAGGAGGAAAAGCCTTCCACTACAAAGAAGGCGATAAAAAATAGGACGAAATCTATTGCTGGAACAGATAACCTAAAATCTAGTGTAGAGGAGGATTTTGAAATAGTTCCTGCTCCTGCAACTGATTCAAGTGATGATGACTCATCCTCCGATTCATCGGACAATGTTGATGATCTGCCCATCGAGAAAAAAGCCGAGATATTAGCTTACGCGAAGAAGATGGCGAGGAAAAAGCAACGGGAGCAGATCCTAGATGATGCTTACAACAAGTACATGTATGAAGATGAGGAGGGATTGCCCAAATGGTTTGTGGAAGAAGAAAGGCGCCATCGGCAACCAATGAAGCCAGTGACCAAAGAGGAAATTGCGGCAATGAAAGCACAATTTAAGGAAATCAATGCCCGGCCTGCCAAAAAGGTTGCAGAGGCCAAGGCAAGAAAGAAGCGAGCTGCGATGAAGAAGCTTGAGAAGGTACGGAAGAAGGCCAATGCTATATCAGAGCAGGCAGATATATCGGATCGATCCAAGAGGAAGCAAATCGAACATCTATATAAGAAAGCTGCGCCAAAGAAGCCTAAAAAGGAGTATGTAGTTGCAAAGAAAGGTGTGCAGGTTAAGGCAGGGAAGGGGAAGGTTCTTGTTGATCGAAGGATGAAGAAGGATCTTAGGAAGCGTGGAATGGGTAAACCTGGAAAAGTGATTTCCAAAAAGGCCAAAGGATCTTCGAAGGCTTCCAACAAGGCTAGAAAGTGAAATCAAGGAATCTGAGTTGCCAAATTTTGACTCCCGGACTGGACTCATTTGACTTTCTTTTTGTTTTACCTGTTAGTCTTTTTTTTTTTTTACAAGTAGATTATAATTTGTGTTTTTATGCCAATTACCATATTCTCATTTTCATTTAATATTTAAAGCGTAGTAAAAATAGAAATATTCTTAAATATATACATATATATATATATATATATATATTATTTTCATCTGATTTCCCTCATCTTTAAATTTGATATTTATGGTTTATTTATTCCTTTGATAAAGTTACAAACAGGCGTTTTTTATTTGGATAAAATAGAAAAAATATCAATTAAGGATTGTTAGAAAAAAACTTATATCAATAAAGAATTATATGTTAAAATTTAAATGAATATTTACTAATTTAAATTAATTTTTTATCAATAAATATTGAGTTAAATTTTAATAACTACTCATTTTACATAATAATTTATTTGAGCTTTTTTTTATTTTTTATTGAGTTTTAATAACTGATCCCTGACTGAAAGAGAATATTTTTTCAGTGGAACTTGATTGCTATTTTTCTGATAAAATACTTATAGTATGTTCAGAAACACGAACAGAGTTTCGACTTTCGACAATCATTCATTTTGGATTTATACTTTTTTCCGTTGAAATTATCATGTCCAAACAGTTTTATCTTTCCTTACTGAGATTTCGGGCAAACAATTACAAAGATAGATGTAGAATTATTAACTTCATAGGGTTCAAATTAGTTAAAGAAATTGCTGGCCAGAAAACTAAAATAGAAGTAATTGACGGGGATAAAAAGGATAGAAGTGAAATAGATGTCTTGATAAAGCAAACTACTAGGGAAACACCCATCTTACGGCATCACCACTCACTACAACTAACTACATGAAGCTTTATTTGAACGGTAAATTCTTCCACATTAACCTAACAGCTTGATTTGTTTCTCAGACATACTGATTGAGGTATTCATCCACAGTGGTGTATTTCACATCAGGATAGAGAGCTGAAGCCTCCACTCCAAAAGATGCCTCAATTTCAAAGTTAGTGTGATCTCCTTTCACGAACACGGAGTGTCCAATTGACAGAATCACATTGGCAGGTGGTGGGGAATCTGTGAAATAAAAAATAAGTCACACTATCAAAATAAGCATATCCTAACAAATCAGAGTCTTATAGCCAGTATTCCAAGTTCATCAACAATACAGTTGTTGAAACAATCACACCTCAAACCAGTGGTGATAAGGCAGATTTTTGTTCCTCTTGATTTTTGAAGGCAGACAATATTCCAGTTGAACAGATTTTCAGGGGGGGGGGGCAAAAAAATTAGCACTCAATCATTACCTTGGATTTGCTTCAAGAGTTGCTCCTCTGGAACGTAGACTCTTTCAACAGTTTTACCAATCTTCTTCTCCCAAAGTGATACAAGGTCGTTAAACGAGTAGGTGTTGAGAGGGGGTCTGATGTAGAGAACTTTGTTCAAGGTTCTTGGATCATCCACGGCTTTGATTGTATAGGTGCCTATATCGTCTTCCTTGTTAAAAACAGCTGTCGAGATCAAGAGAAGGGTTTATCATGGGGATCTGCTAATGCTATTAATATTTCAGAAACTGATTATGTCAGTAAAACCGAGCTTTTAGTTCTTACCTTTTGGGTTTCCATCGCCTAAGATAACAACTTTATCTCTTGGCGGTGCAGTAGCACCAGGCTGTGACAGATTGGGGAGGAAATAACCAGCGAAGAAGTTGCTTGACACATAGGTAAAAGGGATTCCCGCAGCCTCAGTGGCTCGGCGAATTTTGGCCTTAGTAGCAAACGCAGATTTTGCAGGTTCCACTGCATGAACTCGATCCACGTCATTTCCAAACTCTGAAGGAAAGAATCTCTGTGCAACCAAAACAATTTCATCAGTTCTATCACACAACATAAACCATCTAATGATTTTTACCAACACGGTAAATTTTCATGCAAGGAATTGTGACTTGCCACAGATTTTCATTCACTCAAAATGTTTGATTTACCACTCTACTTGGTAGAGAGATCAAAGATTAAATTGCTGAGATAAAACACTAAAGTAAACAGATTATTATATAAATATAACATACTAAAATCTTGGAATATAGCAAAGTTGAAAAGTTGTACCTTGATATTTCCTGCTTCTTTGATGGCAGAAATGATCCTATCTTGATCAGCTAGCAGCATGTGACCTACAGTAGAGATTACCACATCCACTTCCTTTATCGCCTTAACTAAACTCTGGTGGTCATAAAGATCTCCCTGCGTATAAGATGAACACCTCGTTCAATTACCATCAGAAACGCTAATTTGTGAACAAGAAAATTCAAACTGAAAATAGTAATTAAATGATATTATCATGAAAATAAGCTTCACATAATACAGTCCATTCGACACTAACACGCTTCACTATCTCCCGTGTTTCCCATTTCAATTTTACCAAGCGGAGAAAAGCGGTATTCACTGTCCTGTGAAGTGTGTAGTAGGAAAATAGGGAAAATGTAAAGAGATGCCAGAGGATTTACGTACGTGCACTAGATGGACGCCCAAGGCCTTGAACTTGTCAACGATCGGAGATTTTGCCGGGTTGGAAAGAGTAGACTCTCGGATCAGAACGAAGGTTGGGTGGCCGGCTTTGGCGCTGGCTTCGACGATGAACTTTCCTATATATCCGGTGCCTCCGATGAAGAGAATCTTGGAAGTCGTTGCCATCGGAAAGCTCCTCTGGTGAGATATTCAGAGCGGGAAGGGAAGAATGCCCGTTGCTAAAAGATGACTCGTCACTTCTGGAGATCAGAAAACCTTACAAAGGTGGACCTACGGATTTGTAAAATTTCTTGGGCTTTTGCCCTCTCTCCATCGCATTTTATGTTTATGAGATATCTTCTGCCTATGATAAGAGAAAGCCTAGTAAAAAAATATAGTGAAATACTTCTTTTATTTTAAATTATAAAATATTTTTAAATTCATTAAATATGTTTAATAATTTTATTTTTTTAAAATAAAAATATAAATTTTTTAAAATACTCATCATTTAATTTATTAAAAAGAGAGTGGACGAAAATTAACTATAGAGAGAGAAAGGATGATATTAAAATTGGTGTATTTAATAAAACTTTAATCTACTCAAAATATTTTATATTTTAAAACAAAAATTTTTTTTTAAAAGTGTTTTATAATTTAAAATGGTGAGAGTATTATTTCTTTTACAATTGGTTAATTTTAGAAAAAATTAATCTTTTAGTCTTTTAACTTTTAATTCACATATAACTCAATCCTTCAACTATAATTTACTGTAACTCAATCTCTCAATTATGACTCACTGTAATTCAGTCCTTCAACTTTTGTCTCACTTATAACTTGGTCTTTATTTTTTAATTTTTTTAAAAAAATTCCTCATCAAATAAAAGGGTTAAAAGAAATGTTTATATTTTGCTCTAAAATACTCTCCTCTTACTCTTTGATGTGGGATCTAAACGAATATAAAAAAATAGAGCTAACAAAAATTGAAAGATTGGATTAAAAGTGAGTCAAAAATTGATGAACTGAATCATAAATGAATTATAACTTACTGTAACTTAATCCCTCAATTATAACTCGCTGCAATTCAATCCCTCAACTTTTATCTCACTTATAACTTAGTCCTTATTTTTTTAATTTTTTTTAAAAAAATTCCTTATCAAATAAAAGGGATAAAAGAAATGTTCATATTTTCCTCTAAAATACTCTCCTCTTACTTTTTAATGTGAGATCTAAACTAACATGAAAAAATAGAGCTAACAAAAATTGAAGGATTGGATTAAAAGTGAGTCAAAAATTGATAGACTGAATCATAAATGAGTTATAATTAAAGAATTAAATTATAATGAGTTATAATTGAAGAATTGAATTACAAGTAAGTTAAAAGTTAAAGAATTAAAAGATTATTTTTTTAATTTTATTATCTAAACATGCACTAGGTCTAAAACGAACAGCGAAAAGAGTAGCGATGTGCTGAGAGGCAATTTCTCATCTTGATAAAATGTTTACATTATTATTTGAAGATTGAAAAGGTAAAGGTATATTTTTATTTTTAAAGTATTTTTTAAGAATCTCCAACGTCTTAAACTATTTGGTATAATATTTTTGTTTTTAATTAAAATGCAATAGTCTTTACTCTGGCATTAAAAAATAAATATTGATTGTTAATATAATATAAGAAAAAATAGTTTAACCATCTAACGGACGTTTCTAAATAAAAAATACTGTGTTTCAATTATTATAAAAATAAAAATGTTACCTCAAATAATTTTGAATGTGGGGTACTTATAAGAAAATATTTCAATACAAAAAAATGCCTTTACCTTTATTTAAAAATAACCATGTTAATCTGATTTTATAGAACACGAACCTGCAGCAGACAGTAGACCAGATGCATTGTTTAGTGTTCACTTTGGTAAGGAGTAACGGTCTCCGAAAGATTCCCTCGAAGTGGTGAAAGAATAGTCAACCGAAAAAATTCGCCCAATTTTTTAATGACATGCTCCGTCGGGCCTTACATATAAAAAGGTTTTTTTATCGCTCTGATAAATTAAAACTTTTTTAATAAAGATAAAAGATTGTCAACATAGTTATTAATATATAAATCATTATATTTTTATTAAATTGAAAAAAATTCATAAATTTAGTTTATAAAAAAACTTCATTTTTTATTTGTAATAATTAATTTTTAATAAATGATTAATTTTTATTCGTTTGTGTGAGTTGAGAGTTTTAAATTTCCTTTGAGTTTTTCACGAAGATGGGCTAAGTTTGCTGTGACGGGATCATGACGCGAGCATGATGCTTCTGACTGTGCTAGACTCTGAAATGAAATGCCCAGGTTCCCTCCGTCGTTGTTGGGTAAGCAAGGCATGTTTACTAATTGAACTCACACGTTCTCCATTCAATCTTATTTATAAATTATATTTTAAAAATTTTATTTATTAATTATAGTGTAATTTTTTAAATTTTATTTAAAAAATATTTTTAAAATTATCCTTTATAAAAAAAATTAACATAGCATTACTTTTTGAATTAATTATACAAGGACATAATTAAAATTTTACATACTTTTATTCTTTATACTTTTTTTATATTAATATTGATGAGGTTGGAAGAATAATTTATAAAAAAAATTGAAGAAACAATAGATAGATAGAATGTATTCCTTCCGATCCCATTTATAATTCATATTTTAAAAGGTTCGTTTGATCTTATTTATAAGTCATGACTTTTTAAATAATATTTTAAAATATTTTTAAAATTACTTTTCATAAGAGATAAAAAGTAACATAAAATTAAAAAATAACATATTTATTATATAAAGATATATTTAAAATTTTACACACTTATATTCTCTATTTTTTTATATTAATATTGATGAAATTAATGAAAATAATTTATGAAAAACACCGATGGAATATACATAAAACCAATAAAAATATTTTCAAAACCTTGGTGGGAGGAAGGACAATACGATCACGCTTGAGTGGCGTGACCGTCAAGGGACCAAAGTAGTGGACGTCATTATCAAATTCAAAAAGGAAGGAATAAAAACGTGGACGAGTTTTCTAGAATGAAAGTTAAAGTAGGAACTAGGAAGGGAAGGTAAAGTCGGCGAATCTCGCCCGAGCAAAAAATTTCCCATTTTTTTAATCAGTTTCATGTACTTATTTACGAGATATTAAAATAAAATAAATAGGTGGTCTTTTTACCCCTGAGAAAAGAGCACGTGGGCATGGTTGGTGAAGCAAAATGGTTTCTATGAAAGACCGTTCCGGGCGAGTCACACTCATCACGTGCCTTCGCACTTGTGGACTTAGCTGTCACAGCCTGAGTTAGTTGAAGAGCTCTTGGGATGATTTAAAGAATTTCAAGATATTTAAAAAAAATTTAATATATTTTAAAATGTTTTAGAAGTATATGAAATAATTTAAAAATATATGAAATAATTTAAAAAGATTTAAAAGTATTTAAAACTTAGGAAGAAATGTGAATTTGTTTATAATATTTTAAAATATTTTAGGATGTTTTAAAACATTTAATATATATTTTGAAGAAAATTTTTAAAAATTTTTTTGTAAATATCTAAAATAGTTTCTTAAATATTATCATAGAATATTTTAAAGAATCATTGCAAAGTGTTAGATTGAATTGATTTTTACCATTTATTAAAAAAGTGAAAAAATTTTAGAACAAAAGGGGAAGTTATACACACCCCCACACTCCTCGTTCATAACCATCTATCAAACAAAGTGATAAAACTTTTAAATTTTTCTATTCAAGTTCTCTACCCTCTCACATGTAATGAGTTTTTTAATATCTTTGCCTACACTTTGAAAATTTAACTAACTTAATTAAGATCAAAAAGTTGATCAACTTAACATCAATACGTAAAGAGAAATTTCAAAACTGTACTTCACATTTAAAATTGTAATATGTTTGGCTAAGAAATTTTTACTGGTTAGATATTTATTATTTTAATATTTCCAAATATAACTTTTTATTAAATAATCATCATTCTAATATAGTTTTTGTTAATAAAAGGTAGCAAAAAAACTATGCAAATAGACATCTTAAGTCATGTCAGTATATAGAAGATTTTAATGACCTAGTGGCGAGATATCATAGATATGAATATTTAAATTATTGATAAGAGTTTGGTATGTCATTCACTCAATGCAATTATATACCTCTCCAAGTATATGATCAAAAGTGATTGTCTGGTCTCTCAAAGATTTCTTATATAGTATCTTGTTGGTAGTAAATTGTTGTTATCCACTCATCTTATCCCCCCTTTTATGTGGAAAAGAGATTTTTGTAAAAATAAATAAGAAGTACTCCCTCCATTAAAAAATATAAGGTATTTTTAAAAGAGTTGAATGTTAAAAAAATATAAGACATTTTTAATCTTTTGAAATGTAATCATTACCTTTTTTTCAAAAGTGTCCCTATTAATAATGACTTTATATTTATTATGTGGTGTTTAATGGGGATGAATATAAAATTATAGGATTAGTTTAAAATTAGGTAACTACTTTATTGGGGAAAAGATTCAATTAAAAATGCTTTACATTTTTAAACGGAAGGAGTAAAAAATAAAAGTTAAAAAAATAAAGAGAATGACAAGTAAAGACTTTGCAAGAATATTAATGTCAAATTACAAACTTTAGTATTGAAACATGATAGAAGGAGTCCTAAAATTTGAGAATGTCAGTGTTGAAAAATCTTAATTTAACATCAATATTCTTATAAAGTTCTTATCTATCATTCTCCCTTAAAAATACTTTTGGTACTAGAGTACTATTTATTACAAATCAGAGTCCCAAGTGGGTGATTAATTAATTAGATTGGTATGGACTAGACCCTAGTTCCAGATAGCCTAATAGAGGATTTTGTCTAAATCCAAGGGCACCAAGCAGGTAATTCACTTTTTATCTCTTTTAAGTGCATGTTTAGTTTTTAATTTGATAAAAGTTTATTTGGCAAGTGTCAATTTAGTAAAAGTCAGCTATTATAATAAAATTTGTGTTTGAATATATTTTTTTAAAAGTAAATTTGATAAACTAAAAGTGATTGAGATTATATACAATAAAATTTTCTTTTGAACATACAATTACTAAAAAATATTAATTTTTATTATTTGTAATTTTTGTTATACAAATGCTTCATATTAGATTACAATGTCTTGCAAAAAAAATTTAAGATTATAAATTGTATTTAATGAAATTTATTTATATGTGTAATTTGGCAAAAAAGAATGTTTTGTAAATTTAGATCGAGAGAGTACTAATGAACATATTCCCTTAGATGTTAGGTACTCCTTTC